GACCGAAAAGCTGGACTAGTTACTTTCGCGTTTTCCGGAATCTAGAAATATTAGAATTCTCACTGAGGATAATTGATAACATTTTCAAAAGATAATTAATTTTTTTGGGTAGGTACCTAAGAGGTCTGTTCTAACCCACCAAAAAACCGTCCCAAGAACGGTTTCGGAATCACTCTGCATACGAATTTCGGATTCTACACACAAATTACGTTTTTCGCAGAGTCCTGACGGTAGAATGTACGGTTCTCTGCTGGGTTGGAACAAAGCTATGAGCTACCTATAAACTCTAATTCAATTCAACTTTAGGATGAACTCACTAATCCGAATCCCAATTCTCTGTTATTATCTCCTGTAACAGACTTCCAACCAGACATTCCCATAAGTCTTTCTTCCAAAGAATTTAGTGGTGGAGCTTTGCTCACACCTCCTCCGGTTTTTAATTGCGCCTGCCTTATAGCACTAGCTTTAGCCTTTGTTTAAGATTTCCACCTACCTACCGCCTACAAAAATACCCTAATTATAATTCTTATTTTAATTTTCATACAATCTTACAGCTTTCCATTTGTCTACAGAGCGCATCCCCGATCCTATTGAGTTGAGTTGATCTGCCAATGTTGGATAATCTCGCTATTATCGCCATCATGATTCTGGAATTTGCTTTTTAACAAAATTGGATTTTCTTCCAAATAATCGATTATAACTTTCCACTGTTGTGGAGTTGTTTTGAACTCTCTCTCTCTCTTTTGTGTCTAAAACCAATAAGAAAATCGTACGAATATATATTCGATACAACGGCCAACGATCTTTTTTTTTCTTAACATATGAGCACAACTTAATCACTTACCCATATTATATCAGAAACACCAAAAACTGAATAATAATCCTCACCGAAAACGATTTCAATTTGACATATTATTAATATAATTATTTGAACTTTCAACATAACGTCAACCGAAAACAAAAATAGAATCGACAAAGATAAACGTATGCAAAATTGTTTAATGGGAAAAGAAATAGGGCACATAGCAAGACCTAAACGGTCTTTCTATTTGTCAAAACTTCGGCAAATCATTTCCAGGCACGAATCCGTGCGAATCTAATCGAATGGTCGTGCAGAGTGCCGTTTTCGAGAATTTTCTAAAATAGGAAGACATTTTTTGTCTATAAAATTAGAGAGTTCGCATGCTGGTCCTCGTAGCGCCACTATCAGTACTGTACCTTTTTCTTGATCGTTCCATCCGTTTGTATTTGCAGCAGCTTCAAATTGTCGAATATACATAGTCCAGGACGTAGAACCGTCAAAAGTTGGTGGTTTTATCTTCATACTTTAGAATGCTCCAACACTAGCCGCACTGATGGACTGTATTTCGAATTAACGCACCTTATCTTCGCGTGCTTGAACTTGGTCCTCAACTTCTTGTCTTAATTGCTGAACATCAGTTTTGACCTCAGCTTTTACTCCCTGAACGTCGTGCTTAACTTTCGAACATCGTCTTTAACTTCTTGAACATCGATTTTAACCTCTTGAAAATCGTCATTAACTTCGGCTTTTACTTCTTTAATCTTTTGTTTTAGGTTAGCGACAGATCCGTGTATGGTTTGAAATATTTTCTGTAGTTGTCCAAGGTCTTCTTGCCGTTCTTTTTGTCACCTGGTCTCTTCATCTTGTTTTTCTTGTAGTCGTTTAGCCTCTTCTTGTTGTCGTCTAGCTTCTTCATCTTGTTTTTCTTGTTGTCGTTCAGCTTCTTCGTCTTGTTTTTCTTGTTGTCGTTTGGTCTCTTGAAGTTCGAACATTTTGCGCAGAAGTTCTTCAACTTTTTGTTCATCCATTTTTGCTTGTTGTCTTGTGATAGGCATATACAGTATGTTCTGGAATTTTCCTCAAACTCTCTTCAAATATCTTCCCTGGTCTTGTGTTCCAAACACGTCGGTGAAGTCACAAATTGGATAACTTGCTTTATTCTCGAAAAAAATATTCTAGAATTTTTTTGAAATGTCTTTTCTGGATGTCGATTGATATAACAAACACGTCGGTCAAGTCACAATTTCGATATCTCCCTTGGTTTACAAATAGAATGTTCTAGAACTCTCTCAAAGATTCACTATCACAGTCAAAATCGGGTATAGAGTCACTTCCGGGGTAATTTACACGATCGGTTGAGTCTCTTTTTGTGATTGTCACTATTTGCACTGACTAACTGTCCCAGTGTTCAATTCAGTTCACTTAGTGTCCAGTGTTCACACTACACTAGTGTCCCCGCACTATTCTGCAATTGGATTTCACTCTGCAGTCCTTTATATCTCACTTCTGACACCAATTGTCACGGCTCTGGGTTGCCTGACAGAAATCTTGGGCTCGTTGTTCGTTTATTCCAAAATCAAAGTCCAATTAACACAGCAATAATTTTATTCCACGTAACTATACACTTTGATACTAATTACTAACTCAACAACTAAACTCTTTACAACTCGCAACAATAATCACTGTTTAAATCTTATCACAGTCAAACTTGAACTTGAAAACTACCCAGTAACACCGGCCCCATATATCCCTAAATCCATTCATGTATAATCTAGAATAAACGCCATAATCTTATTTTCCTGATTAAAGTAGAATTTACTAGATTATAAGATAAGAATGTGCAATTTCTAGGATTTTCGGAAGGCTGGTGGATGCGTCGTTACAATATTTTTGTGTTATTCTAGAATTTTCACCAATTTTAATTAAAAAAAACAGTAACTATCCTATTCAAAATAGTATATTGTGTATTTAGGTGGAAAAGTGACACATTCTCGGCCGACGGTGTAAGTTGACGGGCGAGGCGTAGCCGAGGCCGGCAAATGTGCTTTTCCACCGAAATACACATACTATTTTTTCTGCGATCGATTAAATTTCTGTTAAATGTTTGTCTTTTTGTTCCAATTGTTCAGCAGTACGAAAATCACTTTCCCGGCCTAGGCCGGAAAAGTGATTCCGGTATTGTTTATTCATTGATTTCTTAGCAACTATTGAAACATAATTAAAATACCAGAATATTGAGTTTTGCGACCTGTCAACCGGTCAAAAATGCTGAGATTTCTTGTCAATCACAGAAAAAGGCAGAAAAAGATAACTTCTTTCAACAAAGATTGATATAAAATAGTATATTACATACCGAGTTGGGAAGAGTTTCATTACTGTCGAGAGATTAGTTCGCTTCGCGTCTCAGTTAACTATAATCTCGAGACAGGAATGAAACTTCCTACCGAGGTATGTATACTATTTTATTTACAAGAATTACAACCCTCATAATTTCGATTAAATACAAAAAAAAATAATAAAAATTTGTTGACAAGTTTTGACTCATTAAAAAAAACGTTTGACATGCAGGACTCGTCTTAAACATTTAAGGAAATGAGAACTTACTTTCCACCCGGGTGGAAAGTGAGCACTTTCCACCCGGGACCACTTTCCACCCGGGTGGAAAGTAAAATTCAAAAAAGTGTCACTTTCAAACTTTTGAAAAGTCAGAAACGTCAACATTACATATGTGGTTGTAAATAAAAGCATTTACATTATGCTAAAATATTTTCAAATAATAATTATTCGTGAAGACATCTGATCTGCGCATGCTGTTATTCAGTTAGGAAATGGCATCTTTTTGACATTTATTGCAGTTGTCAAAAGTGGTTCATTTTAACACAAACGTCAAAATAAGCAGTGTGTGGGGAAGTCCGCTCCTTTGGAGGTTTAACCATGATTGAATTCAAACCAAGTGTTTTGATACAGTGTTAAAATGAGATCTTATTTCATCACTGAGCGGTGAAATGGGATTTAGAGTGCGTTCCGCGTCAGTGTAAAAATTAGTTTATATTTTGAATTTTAAATATTTTGAATGAATCACAAAAAAATTTGTATGAAACACCTCGCAAAATGGCTGGTTTTTTTTTTGCACACGCTTATTTCACAACTTGTTACATAAATAGCTATTTCGTGATACTGTACTAATATTCATATAACATGAGCGAAACTCAAATCGAGAAGGTAAATTTAACGACCGCCGGCCGATATTTATCTGCCGGCTGGTTAAATATAAATAACAGGTCGGCGGCTGTTAAAATAACGGCCGCCGGCCGGGAGAGTGTTTATTTTGTCAGATGGGAAGATATCTGCAGCAAAGTTTAACTTCAGCCCGGCCGTTATTTGCTATTTATCGACCTCATAAAGTTAATAACTATAACTGGTTAGCGGATAAATAACGGCCGGTGGCCGTTAAATTCACCTTTCCGATTTCAGTATGACGGAAAAAAAAACTAATGAAGAACATTTTTTGATTACATAATAACTGTGTGACATCTCTGTCATCGTAATTCACTTGTTGCTAGAAAGTAAGAAGCATGCTACTTATCTCAGAACCTTAAGAAATATATGGCAGGTTTCACACCGGAGTGGCGTCGTACAAATGCGACGTGGCAACATGCCTAATATATTTTGATAGTTTGAGTGCTTCCGCTTTCTAGCAGCAAGTCGCCCGTCGCATGCTACTTTGGTGTGATGCGCACTCAGAAATATATTGGTGGTTTCACACCGGAGTGGCGTCGAATAAATGAGACGTGGTAACATGCGACGTGCGACTGAGAATTGAAACATGTATACAGGACACTACATCGATAGGAAGTTTTCAATGAATGATAGTTGGGGTCATTTTGAAGCTGTTTTACACTTATGCAAAGTTTTGTCGTTTTCTATTTTGATTATTTGGACGTTCTTTGATATAAATCGGGTCGCATTGTGCGACTTTGATATGGAAGTAAACATGGAGGAGAGTTCCTTCCTGGTTCACGGTCGATCGTCGCGTGCTACTTTGGTGTGAATGCCTAACTTAGAATTAACTCATCTGAAAATTATCGTTTTGCTTTCCTCATCCGGTTCATAAGAGACTACTATTGTTTTTTTTCTTATTTTTTTCATTTTCTAGTTTTGTTTTGCATCCAAATTTTATCATGTAATATTTTTCTAGAGTTGACAACAGTCCCTTTCCAGCAACGATTCAAGGGAAACCCAAAATTATTAGAGCCTATACCGACCAACAAAAAGCTGAAGACAAGATGCTGAAATACAAGTTGACGTATCTGCAGTCACTAAACAGAAATTATTCTACGGTAAATTGATTTCAAATGTATCAATGTATCACTTACCTACTGTTGATTCAAGTTAGCTATTGCTCGAATTGGTTGCTTTTACACGTATATTATTACTTTAAAGAATGCAAATTTTATTCTATTTTAGGGTCATCATTACCGTTACTACAGTAAAGAGCCAGCCAATAATAGCGGTTCAGGAAATTGTAAGAAAACCATAAGCAAATGTGTTAAAGTAAAACCAAAAAAACCTTGCAAAATGTCAGACCGGAAGGCCTGCCCGCGTTTGAAATTAAACGATTGCAATCAATCTCCAGGCTCAAATTGTAAACTCAACTATCTGGATCCGAATTGCGTAAAAAAATTCGCTCCTTATCCTTCCTATAGTGAAGCGTGCGCTGAAAACCTTCCAGAAGATCCTTCAGAATGTCACCAATGTCCATGGAGAACGTGCGACGATGCTGATACCATTGAACCAGGAAAACCTGTGAGGAACAAACGTAACTACAGTACTTCATGTTCCCGACATTTGGATGCTCCGGCTGGAGTCGCCTTACCAACTTTCAATGGCGAAATAACTGATTATTTGGTGAAAGGTAAAGATGGTAGATGTGGACAAGTGAAAAAACCTTGCAAACAACCCAAAGGACCTTGTGAAATAAGACGGGACAAGGAGGCATTAGAGAAGCACGAAAGGGAGAAGTTGTATAAACCTGATAAGAAGAAAGCTGAAGGACTGGTGCTGATTAGTGACAAAGAATTTATCTTAGATGCACAATTTGATTCGACTGAGTAAGTAGTATCGTAGTATAAAGCCCTCGCCACCCAATGCTATGAACATTGGCCACAACGTTGGACCGAGCATAAGTTAAATAGATTCGACATGTACGGCAAATTGATCTGCTATACGGTGTGACAAATGTTCAACTCAAACAAGAAGTTCTGAACTTGGCTGGTTATTGTAGGCTGCAGGATAGTTTTAACAAAATCGAGGATGTTAACGATGCAATAGCTACATTAGCAGCTGTGGTAGTATTTTCCTGTGTCAAGTGAAAGAAGCCTAGAAAACGTGCTAGAAGGTGGTGGATCTTATCTATAAATAAACGCAGAGAATACTTCGCCACCTAATTATAATATGTACAGTGTGTTTCAAAAGTCTGGGAGCGGTCAAATATTTCCATAGCGGCTTAAAATAGAATTACGTAATTTTCTGCATGTGGGTAATTAATGATGCCCGATTCAATGATGACATCGAAAATGTTGCCAAGTTTACAGGTTTGCAGATAATGTAGTCAACTTCGTTTTTTTTTTTTTTTTAATAGAAATACCACCTTATTTTTAATGCAATTTTGGTACTCTATTGTAAGTGAAACCAAATGACTTTAAATCCCCATTTCAAGCGGTTTTTGAATTGTGGCAACACAGACTTTTTGTTCAAAAGTTCGATAACAGTGGAGTATTTTGACAAAACTTTGAAGGAACTTCGCACATTTGATAATTACCTCTCACACTGGAGAATAAACAAATGAATATCTAAATTTTAGTTATTTAGCGTACGTGTTTTCTTTCATGTTATTGTTATGACAAATTGTCAAACAATACAGGGAGTATCAGGTGTGGGATTCTCAATCGTTAAGTCGATACGTAATGTCCCGACTCCCTGTAGAAAGGCAATGGGAAGTCGGGGTCGATAGGTTGCGATTAGAGGTTGAGAATTGGGGGGCAGGTATGAGTACAATATTTTAACATGCAAAAATATGACCTATTTCAAGCTAACGCTGTCCTATTAAGACTATTATTTATGAGTCAATTGTTAGTAATTTCGGAATTATGGCAAAATTTAAATTTAAAAAAATGTTAACAACGTGACAACATTCTAGAGATAATCTCTACCAGGATATTAATGCAAATAAAACTGGTAAATTCTATTTTTTTGCAAGCATTTCATATATTTCCATCTGTTTACCTTTTGGTTTGTTATTCGCTTTCAAATAATGTAAATAATAATTTGTATTTAACACTTTTTTGGTGAAAATAAAAAATGTGGCGTTTTATTAAGTTGTGAATTGCACTCAATTACATTTTTGCACTGAACATTCAAGAGAACAAAATTTACACACTTACACTTCCCATATCACGCAATCTTTGTGAACGGGCACAATGTTCTTTCATCAGGTGAGTGCCCTTCTATTGGGAAATTTTCCCCTGTAAATTCTGGCGGCTAAATGAGCATTTTGCAACGATTCTGCCTTAATAAGTATCTGCATATTCGACGTTTGTGAACATTTAATTTTCGACCACCAATTCTTTTTTGCGCTATGTTGTCAAATGTTTAGATACCGAATTACGAGTGAACGTGTCATGTTTTTCCAATTTTTTATTGTTGTTGACTTAAAATGCATTATTACTTGATAATTAATTGAATGAGTTAATTTTTTTTTTTGATCTCCTAATGATTAAAATTTTCTTTATCTTTCAAATATTTGTCAAAAATTGTCATAACTTCAAAGATCTTTTTCTTAAAAATGATTGAGTTTGGACATCATGTTGTACAAACCTTTTTTGTTCAAAATGGGCCATATTTTCAAGTGTTTAAACTTCTGTAGTCAAACCTGATAGACCCTGTATAAGATATCAATTTATACTCGACAACCAGTTTTTTTAGTGACATTTTTGCAGGTATTATTAAGATAGATAGATAATAGCTATTTACCTAACAAGTACGGAAAATGAATTTTTCCGCACGCGGCTGCCGTTCACCGAACGACGCCAGTGCATATCAGTGCGGTAAAATTTTTTCCGCACTGACAGCCGTGCGGAAAAAGTTTTTCCGCACTGATATGTCAAAAAAAAAGTTTTACCGCACCGTGCGGGAAGACTCATTTTCCGCACGCATATCAGTGCGGAAAATCGATTTTTCCGCACCGCTGTAGGAAAAATATTTTCCTGGGGCAATATTTTCCCAAATCTCGAATTGACGCCTAGAAAATGTAATCCTACTTTAACTCGTTTTAAAAATTTGACCGTTCTTAGACTTTTGAACAAAAAGGCTGTGTTGCAATATTACAGAAACTGTGCAAAATAGGGACATGATATCAAGAGGTTTTAATAGCAATAGAGCGACGAATTTATTGCAATGAAAATAGAGTGGTATTTCTATTTGAAAAAACGAATTTACCTACATTATCTAAAAACCAGTAAACTTGGCATCATCGTCAATGTCATCATTGAATCGGGCATCAATAATTTCCCCATCTGCAGAAAATTTCGCAATTTTATTTCAAGCCGTTCTGGGAATATTTGACCGTTCTCAGACTTTTGAACAAAAAGCTGTTTCCATATTTCAGAAACCGTGTAAAATAGGGATATGATATCAGGACGTTTCAATAACAATAGAGCGTCGAATTTCTTGCAATGACTATTTCACTAGAGTGTATTACACCAGCAATAAATTCGGTATTCACCTGACAATAATGCTACCTGGACAATACCAACAACATGGTATTTCAGTGACCATCTTTTGACATTGTCAAACTGGTATTTTTAATTTGAAATTTTTTATTATTAATTTTGCATCCTATTTATTTTCAAAATCTTACGTGAAATAGTCATGACGAATACCACTCGAGAAAAATTTGTGTAGGCAAAATTGTTCTCAAGGTTTTATTCAAGTTTGTTGCTTTTCGGCAATTTCGAGAAGAAATATATACAAGTTGCGTTTCAATTACCCAAATTACAATACGATAAAACGTAATAGTCTGGGAGTTAACGACATATTTCATTGTACCATTTCCGCAAGCTTAATTCTTTTTGTATGTGTTATGCGTGTAGTATATGATAGTAATATGATCGTCTGCCGGCGCACCAACACGACAGGGGGTTACAGGAGGGTTACAATTACAGCAAAAAATGAACGAAAAAAACTTATAGCCGCATAAGCGAAACTTATTGTACATATTGGTAGAAACTTAGAAAGCTCAGAAAATATGGTCTGCCATCTAAATTCCACGACAAAAGTCGTCTGCCACCCACATAAAAGAAAAATTAAAAAAAAAAATATACCCGCAAGGCTGAAATTAATTATTTTCACAGTGAGTTTGACAAGTGTCAAAAAGAGAAAATAAATATTCCAAGTGAAAATTTTCCTTTCCATTTTGAGTGTATCCTTCTATAATCTCTTTAAGAACTCTAGAACATTAGACTTGAGCTTTTCACAATTCCTTTTGGTTAGCCTAACAAAAAAATAAAAAAATAAACAGGAATATGAAAAAAATGCAACGTCCTAGCGGTGGTGCTCGGGCACTGCATGCCGAACCCAACTTCATAGGCTTGGCAGACGATCTTCGTTGTATCTTATTCGTGGCAGACGTTTATGTTTGTTTCCATAAAAAGAAGTATTTTAAGTAATTTCAGCCTTACGAGTATATTTGTTGTTTTAAATATTTTTTTGCGCTTACTTATGTGGGTGGCAGACGACTTTTGTTGTGGAATTTAGGTGGCAGACCATATTTTCTGAGCTTTCTATGTTTCTACCAATATGTACAATAAGTTTCGCTTATGCGGTTTTAAGTTTTATTCGTTCATTTTTTGCTGTAATTGTAACCCTCCTGTAACCGCCTGTCGTGTTGGTGCGCCGGCAGACGTTCATATTACTATCAGATACTACACGCATAACACATACAAAAAGAATGAGGCTTGCGAAAATGGTACAATGAAATATGTCGTTAACTTCCGGACTATAAGTCCCAAACAATTCCTATTAAAAAAAACGAAGTTTCCTATAATATTTCAAAACCGGTAAATTTGGCAACATTGTCGATATCATCATTAATTACCCACATGCAGAAAATTTCGTGATTCTATTTCAAGCCGCTCTGGCCCCGTATTCTTGACTGCCCGGGAAGGGAGTGTTCCTGGGAACGTTCCCAGGAAAGCTAGTTCACTTTCGCTCCCGGGAGCTAAGAGGTCGTATTCTTGAATACCCACAAGCGCTCGCAATGTTGCCGCCTATCAGAGTGTCAATCAAACTAACCAAAACGTGTTTCAAGCGAAAAAAGGAAGAGGAAGTTATCTAACCCAATATCTAACCCCACGTTTGATATTTATTATTGTCTATTTTTCAAAACTTTGAAAGCTGAAAGGCATTTGGGTTTGATAATATATTTATTTTTAACTACCCTATGAACATCATCGCTGTAAGTGTTCGAAAACTGCATTCCTCATGAGATTTTTTATACATGAAGGAAAATTGCGCATAATTTTCTGCAGCATAAATTAATAAATTCCGTATTCCTGCTCCTGAACTTCATGTGGCTCATCAACTTCTGGAATACTGTGTTCTATGCATACCTACCTACTTTTGTAGTTTTGGTTAATAGTCTGGGAGTTAACGACATATTTCGTTGTACCATTTCCGCAAGCTTCATTCTTTTTGTATGTGTTATGCGTGTAGTATATGATATTAATATAAACGTCTGCCGGCGCACCCTCACGACAGGGGGTTACAGGAAGGTTACAATTACAGCAAAAAATTTACGAAACAAACTTATAGCCGCACAAGCGAAACCTATTGTACGTATTGGTAGAAACATAGAAAGCTTAGAAAATATCGTCTGCCACCTAAATTCCACGACAAAAGTCGTCTGCCAAACACAAGAATAAGCGCAAAAAAAATATTAAAAAAATTTATACCCGCAAGGCTGAAATTAATTGAAATACTTCTTTTCATATTAACAAACGCAAAAATAATAGTCTGCCACGAATAAGATACAACGAAGATCGTCTGCCAAGCC